TTTATAACACAATTAAACATTCACAAGTCCAAGAAAACCCTCCTTCGGTATTCAGTGAGGCCAATTCACGAATCCCTTCTACTCGCCTTCTCAAACGAAATAAAAGATATGCCACTATCACCAAATTATTCAGAACCTTCTAATAACTGAGAATGGCTTCTAATACATTAGTTCAAAAGTAAAGAGAGTTATATTAACAAGGCAGATAATTTCCCATGGAGAAGAAGGTAAAATATTCTTCTGAGACTCTGTAGTAATGCATACAATAATCTGAATTCGAAGCTAAAAATATATACGCAAAAATCAATTAAACGCAATGCAAAATATGTTGATGCTTCGAGAATTTTCAAAATTTATAATTTAAATGTATTATATAGCAAAGTATAAAACAATGATCTGAGTAAAGAAAGCCCAATGACCAGACATGAAGATCAAGATGTGATTTAGATAGTTTAGCGAAATTAATTCGACAGACTTTGGATATCTTAGCCGTTAGGTCGAACGAGAAAAGAAAGAATCTGCAAAAGGACGGTTTCTCCTATCAGGTAAGGATTGGCGAAGCCAAAAAATAGCTAGACTTAAAGAGAATTTTCGTCCTGAGTTTTCATGATTGGAATCTTAGGGGAGCTTGCAAAGGAATTGCAAAGGAATGATAAGAAGTTTAAATCTACCACCAATGCTAAAGAAGTTGGATTATTGTTTGAATCAACTTCAGACTTCAGATTCGTCTAAAGACCCCTGTATTACAGACACAATAAATCTAAATTGCCAGCTCTGGTCGACATCACTTATATGCAAAAACAAAAAACTCAGCTAGTTAGGCCATGCTCATTCGTAGTTGATAAATTACGATAATATGACCTGTATCTGATAAGGCGAGTATCACCAGTTCAAGAAGACATTCTGTCATACTACCCTCACTATATCATAGTATATTTGATTCCTATGGAAGTTATGTAAAGTAAACTAGTATCTCCTATACATATTTGTGTCATTTTGTCAATTATCAAGGAAACTAAGTAAAGAATAGTCAAAGAGATGTGACAAGCCGATCATCTTAATTTATATTTAAAATTTCAAAATCTATTTCATATTTGTTCTATTTAGTGGCAAAATCTAACTATTATATAATTGTTGCCAAAAGTTTTTTCCAAATCTAATTGAGCAAGCCAGGGTAATTTTAAATCTGAATATTACAAAAAAGATTTCGCAAGGATCAAGGCAACTATATGAATGGCTTAATCGAAGGTACGAAGACCAAGATTATGTGGCCTTTTGTGTGGTCGCAGTCTCCTTTCGTTGTAAAGAGGTTGCTTGACCTTGTTTTCGCAACTTGGTCATATTGGTAGGAAGACTTAGAGGAAAGGTAAAAATTGTTACAGTGAAAGCGTGATAGGAAGATATAGAAAATTCGAATAGCCCAGGGCAGAAGGGGAGATACCACAACTCTTTAGCATACGTTTGGTCAAAGGATCGTCTTCACTTGTCTCTTTTGACGAGTTGCTGTGTGGTGCTAAGAATGGTGAAACTCACTCACGATGCGGGCGAAACGTCTGGTAATATACCACGTCCATGGTCCAACTTTGGAAATGATCATGTATGCAATTGAATCCGGACTAGGTGCTTTCCTCTAAGTCTTCCTACCGATATGACCAAGTTGCCAAAACAAGGTCAAACAACTTCTATATGAGTGGTGTTAATTTTCTTCTGTTAAAATTGATGAAGGTAGTAGTCGAATTTTCCCACAATCATGTGAGTAGTCCTTACACTTTCATTGAATTTGTCATATCTTCGCTTTCAAATGGTATTCTCATCCAGGGCGGAATGCAGTTTTGAGCTCGCATAGGTTTCATCAGCATCCCAGTTGGACATTAACCATGACATTGCAGCGTATAATCTCGACGCATTAAACAGTACGCTACAATGCTACAAGTGCTCTTAGTTCATAAGGCAGATGCGAATTTCAAGAAAAGCCAGACATTTTCCCATATCATATTCTGTGGTTGGATTATTGACAAAACAAAGTTTTATTTGAACGCAGATATGAAGGTCAAGATGTTGTGGTCTATAGTTTGGTCGTTTTCGATGTATCGAAGTGTTCTGACCTTGTTTTTGGAACTTGGTCATTTTGTCAAGGAGACTTAGTTGGACCCATCGTGTCCGAAATCAAAGAGACAAGTCAAATCAATCCCTTGACCAGCCTTCTGACGAACGGTTATGCCATCAGTCGTATTTCTGTCTTGGCATATCTACCTAATCCATACTCTCTTATCACACTCCAGCCCTATCAAAGCTGTTGGCTTGTTTATATTCCACTCTTCAAAAGATGTGCACTTTTTGGCTAGTTAAATGTTGTTTACTTTACCCCCTCCCTCTTGATTAACTGAAACGAACACGTCTACAGGCCCATGGGTGCGATCCCCCTGGATGAGAATACCTTTTGGGAAATGAGACTATGGAAAATTCAATGGAAGCGTAATGCCTACTCATATAATTTTGGGGAAATTAAACTACCAGTCCTTTGTTACCTTAAATGGAATAGCGTGAACACATATCATATGTCTGATTTACTGCGAGTCTCGGAAACCTATTTAAAACGAAAACATAACCATTATCATATATTTGCCT